ATGCAACGCAACGCGTAAAAAGACAGTATAAGTCATTATAATCCGTAATTATGTCCCCACTGGATGCAACAAATGCCTCGTTTGTAATGGGTTTTATTGGTTTTGTCTCATTGCGCCGGGACACACGGAGACACAGTATGGTAAGGGGTGTAACATTTCCATCACACGCTAGCGGTATTCAGCCAATCACAACACACTGTATGGCTGGCCAATCAGAGCACACCTCGCTTTTCAGACCTATGAGCTTTGTAAAAATCGACGCGTTTCAGAAAGGCGGGGCATAGAGGAGAAACAATAATGTGTATGTGGAAAATAATGTTTTTTTTTAACCTTAAACTGCATAAACACATTGCATTACACCAAATACACAAAATACTGTTCTTTTTAGCAACATCATATGACCCCTTTAAATTTAAATGTTAATGACTGGATGTTGGATGACAATGTTGTTTCACATGAGATTAACTGAATAGATGTTGTGTGGTAATGAAGATAGATAAGACCAACACGTAAATATAAAATTAGTTTTACACTATGATCAGAATACTGGCAGTCCAGTACATTTCTCTCAAAAGTTTCTTTCTACATCTACACCGTGTCAAGATGAAAATGTTGCATAAATCAGTTTTGTAAAAACAACTTGGCAATGGTAATGGTAATGTTTGATGAATTTTAACAACCCATTATATATAGTTCAAGGTGGATGGTCTGGAATTGCAAAATATTATCTTGAATAAATTAAAGTTACTATGCCCTAACCATTGCTCAGTGCAGGCTACAGGCATTTAGATAAACAAAGAATTTAAATTTGCAGAAATAACTAGCTGTCATTGGGGGTACTGTTTGTGTGTATATGTGAGTCTATGCTTTGTGTATTTCATGTCAAATAAAGATTGACCAGCACATTGAACCAAGGTTGAAATGACCATTAAATACATTTTTGTATGTCGTTTTACTGGGCTATGAATTTCTTTAAGTGTATGATGTACTGTACAGTATGAAATGTGAATGAGGAATGATGGATATAGAAATACACTACCATGTATGGCAAAACCAAGACATTTTTATGTTTTTGAAAGAAATTCATCCTTCTGTTTACCGATGTAGCATTTAATAAATCAAAACAAAATGCTATTTATGTAGATTATTATTACTGTTTCTATTTTTAGATTCTTTAAAAGTACATTTGAGCAGTGATGACAAAGTGCTATTTTCACAAACCATTGCTCCAGTCTATTAAGAAAACCTTTTAATGTACTTGTTTTGTACTCGAGAAACCTTTCTTATTATTAGCACAAATAATTTTGCAGCTTAATGACATTGTAGGTAATTATTTGGTTTGAATTGATTTTGGTTTGAAAATGGGCAAAAACAAACACATTTTTTTCTGTTGTTCTTCCGAGAGATGAAGGCTATTCCACACATTACTGTCTTAAAAGAAGAAAGTAAACTGGAACTATCTACCACATGGAGAGAAGTGGACAGCCCAGATGCACAACTCGTCTCTGGTTTGAGAAACAAACACCTCACTGCTGCTCAGCTAGAAGCTTCAATGGCAGAAGAAAGTGCTTAAATGGGAAAGAGAACATAAAGAATGGATTGTAAATTATTATTATTATTAAAAAGGTATTACAGATGGATGAATTTAAGTTTCAAGTGTTGAGCTGAGGTTCATGGGAAGTGCTGCACAAAGCAGGAGAAAGTTCAGTTGAATGTCTTAATAAGCTGCTTGAATACATGCTGCACATGTAAGACTCTTTGATGAACAGAGTTTGAATAATGCTATTTATAATACAGCTGTATATAATACAGCATTTGTAACTGCATTGTACAGCATTGTAAATGGTTTTACATTACTTAATTTCTGATCAATTTAATGCATCCTAGGTGAATAAAAGTCTCAAGTTCTTTAAAACAAACAAACAAACAAAAAATGTCTTAGCATTTCCTATCCTTTTAAGCGTAGTGTAGATGAACGATGAGATGCAGGGAGTTTATGGTGAAGTTGTATTTTAAGATTATGGAATAGAAACCCATTAGTCTCAAAGTCCAATGCAGTCTATTCTTCCTGCTCCTCATACCCACACTCTCCGTCTGATCTAGCATTCATCTCTAGCTTGTCTCCCAGTGGAGCATATCAAGAAAATAGAGTAGGAGGTGTTCAAGGCTGAGGTAGATGTGAAGCAGCAAAGCAGTCTTTATCTAAGGGTGAGGAGGGTTTAAGCACCATGGATTTTATTTTCAGCTCTGAGTCCTTCTCATGTCACCTCCAAAATCCACCACTCAAGGGGCCGCAGACTAGGGGCTAGACCTACCCCCAGCAGGGCTTTCCTCTTGAGATGATCCTAACAGGTGTTGTCCAGTACACCTTGCAGGTCTGTGTTAGTTCTCACCACTTAGCAGAAATCATGCCATTACAAGATTGTTTAACACAAAGTGGAGGGAGATGTTGATAAAAACACATTTGTAACAAAGTAAAACCTTCGACCAATGTTAATTTTGCACACAAATTCAGACTTTGTTGGTGCACCATGGTGCAGATATTTAAGAAATTTATAACAAAATATTAATATGTCTTATTTGCAATTGGTACTGTTGATATTATTACGAGAACTGGTTGTTGCATTTTGCATATGTGAACAATTAAAGGGATAGTTCACCCAAAAATGAAAATTTGATGTTTATCTGCTTACCCCCAGGGCATCCAAGATGTAGGTGACTTTGTTTCTTCAGTAGAACACAAATTATGATTTTTAAGTCCAGCCGTTGCAGTCTATCAGTCGTATAATGCATGGCAATGGTAACAAAATCTATGAGAGTAAAAAAAAACATGCACAGACAAATCAAAATTAAACCCTGCGGCTCGTGACGACACACTGATGTCCTAAGACACGAAACGATCATTTTTTACCTCTAATACACCACTATGTCCAACTGCCTTGAGCGCGCGCA